TACTTAAAGCAGGCTACCATACTTGAAGTAGATTTGAATTGATTTTCGGCCCTTCCTTTTCTTTTTGAAATCTGTAATCTCCAGAATAATGGGCCCCGGGTTGTTATTAAAGGAGGGGGTGGGGGGAGGGAGACGAGGGCACCCTTACTAATCAAGAGCAAGGATTAAGCCCCATAAACCCTAAACCCCAAACCCGAAAACTCAGCCCCGGACCCGCTGTCCTTTGACAGCCTTTTGAATGCTTGCAAGGCCTTGAGCGGAGCATCTGTGCCGAAACCCTCCGGGTATAGGGTCTTTGGCGAAAATCCGGGATGTAGTGTTACTAACTTAGACCATAATAGACTCAAACGGGGGTGGGTATGCTGGCCATCCTAGATGGTATTTTATGGAATCTTGCAATGAATGGGCGCAGTAGGGATTCACTCATACCCCAAACCGTATGGGAGGGTCTTGCGTCATTCATAGGGGACTCCCTTGCAGAGCCTAGGCCTCATCATGGGGAACCCTCTACATACACCCCTATGAATCCCTGTAGTGTCCATTTCAGTTTCCGTTTGATTCTCCATTATAGTGATTTCCATATCACCTGTTTATGCCCCTATATACCCCGCCACAGCCAAAACCCTAAACTTTTTAAACCCTTTTTCAACCCAGGTCTCTCTCCGCACTGCACGGGCCACGCCAAAACGTACATAGTGTGGATGCCCTGACCCTAGGCATCCCCGAAACTCTAAGCTTGGCCCTGTCAACCCCAAACCCTGAAAGCCACACCCTAAACCCTAAACGCATAAACCAAAATCCCAAACCCTAAACCATACAACCTTAACCCTATCACGTCAATAGTGCAAGCAAGGTACGGACGGCAACCGGCCACAAGGCATATGACAAGGGAACTTCCATGGAGGGCTTTGCCTCTGTGCGGATTTTGGCCTGATCTGTCACAGAGTTCATCGACCCAAGAACCTAGAATGAAATGGAACACTTAGAGTTTAGGGTTTAGGATTTATTGGGGACGCTCTACGGTTTAGAGACGTAAAACCGGAAGAATGGAGAATCACCTGGAACATCAAGTGTAATAGGGGTTTATAGGGATATATCATAAATATGTATATATACATATATATATATACAGTGAAGACTCAGCTCGCAAACGTCGTTTCCCCAGTCTCTTCAAGGAACGCATTCCAAATGGACCGAATCTCTTCAGACACCCTCCAAGTCGCCTTTCGACTCATGTAACACATGGATAATCAAATGAGCCATATTCCTAACTCCTCGTATCCCCCTCAATAACCCCAATAATACTCCACCATATAACCCCCTTTGAACAATTTAGACTATAGCTCTCAAATGGGAACTACAGTGGCGTGGGGATCTAAAAGGTAATGATGGAGCTTTGCATGGGGGTTGAACTGTGCGCAACGACAACGGTTTAGGGTTTCGGGTTCAGGGGTTCCAGCTGGGCTCATGTTGACGATTGAAAGAGTAGGCAGGGCGAGCATGCCTCCGGAACAGAACTCCACAAACACACCATACTCTGCTGCCTTTTCTCCAGCAAGGTCTGCTGAAAGCGTTTGACATTAAAATGTCTTGGACCTTCTTTTTCATCTAAACACACAATCTCCATGCAACCCCCATAAATCCCGTACACGGGACCCCCTTGAACCCTATATAATCCCTGGCCTGCAACTATAAACCTTGGGTACCTCCCCCAACCTGTAACAGCCTATATTAGGGGTCATATTAAGGGCCATATATAACTATGGAATAAGTTTTATCCAACTTTTACAGAGTGGGGGCAGTATCCTATATTCATCCCTATAAAACTAGATAACCCCTTTGCAAGGGTACCCCTAATTCTGTATTATCACACCGTGGGCCTTGCGCAGGTGACGTAGTGGCAACCTTGCCGGCTGACGCCATGTTGATGCTGCCTTTAAGGGTTTAGGGTTCAGGGTTTAGGCACACCCAAGTAAAAAAAATATGTACATACATATATATATATATTTATGTTTATATACAGGATCATATGGGGTTATATGCGCCAGCATTCGCAGGTCCCCCATTTCCTCCACCCCATGTTCCATGGTGTTCCATGATATAGAGTGTGATTAACCTACTCCCCCCTGGTGGTCCAACGGTCTGGCTTTGGTTGCTTAACTTCGAGGTTTGAGTTAATAACATTCAAATGCGGAGCGCGGACGAATGTATAGGGGCATATAGGGGTATAACTGGATTGCTGTTAAGGAACTTAAATTAAGTTACTCCAATAACGGAACTTTGTTTCTAAGATATATATCTATAAATAACCATGTTCTGGCAACTCAAATTGGGTTCCTTAACCGCAACCCAGTAGAGAGCCATATGTGCTATAGCCTAAACTCCTAGTATCCCCCTTAAGCACCGCAATAATACTCCCCCATATAACCTCCTATATAAGTTTCTCAATAACCCCTATAATTCCAGGGATATATGGGGCAATACTGGAGAATAAGAGGGGACGCCCAACTCGCCCTACCGCAGTGGTTTAGGGTTTAGAGCTTCAGAAGGAGGATTCAGGAATTCCAGGTTGGTGGAGGAGGGTAATCGTGAGTTCAAGTTCTATAGGGCTATGTACAGCCAATTGCAGGGAATGAAAAAGAACATTCCTAAACCTTGCTAAGCCCTACTAAGCCCTAAACCCTATACATCGCAATAGAACCCCTATATACCCCTAAAAATGCCCCTTGCGTGGAGTCTTAGGATGACAAGAAGGATGGAAGATTCAACTGGACGATGAATTGGACCTTGTGGGGACTGACCTGGAGGATCTGTAGACTTGGTAAGTCTACAAAGGAACTTGGGTTATAAGGCGTATAATACGGGTTATTAAGGATCGTAGGTAGGCTTACTAAGTCAAAAGATCATCCAGGTATCAGGTTAGATACTGCAAAAATGGAGAGTCTCAGGGAAACCAACATGAAAGACTAGCTTCGCAAAGCTACTACTACTGAGGCTGCTGATGCTGCTGCTATTGCTATTATTATAACTATCAATATAAGTACTACTACTACTACTACTACTACTATTAGTACTAGTATTACTATTTCACTAATTACTACTGCAACCTACTATTAAGGGCTTAGGGTTTGGGAGCCTTCCCAGGGTAAGCTTCAACCAGGCCAAGGCCTAAAAAACTGAATCCCTAAGTAAAAATCGTAGATTGCATTAGGGTTTAGGGTTTAGGGTTTTCCATATTCCATGTTCTATTCCATTCCATTTTTTTGTCATTTCTCATAAGTACCCCTATGTATGAGCCTTAATAACCCCTATAGTAGTCCCCCATATAATCCCTTATATAATCCCCTTCGCAGGAGTTTAGAGTATAGCTCATATCCTGATAAGCCCCTATAGCTTCCATGTGAACCGGCCTGGGTCAGGCTCTGTGCCTCAACCATGACATGCCGAGGACGCCGTGCCTGCCTCCCCTCTGCACTAGGGTAGGTTCGGGGGCCCTATACAAAATTACATTTTTGTGGATTTATAAGAATTCTACTCTAAACCCGAGACCTCTAAAACCATATTTTCAAACCTACCCCGGTCTCCCCGCTGCAGGCTTCGACCACCCACTCGAGACACAAAGATGCGGATATCATTCGGCTCCCCTCTCGATATAAGAAGCATCTTACTACCATAGTTATAAGGATCATAATGCCATAATTATGATACTCTACTAACCTGGCGGCATAAAATGATCGAGTGCTCATACGCAACCTTGAAGTGAGGCGGCTGCTTAGCTTCAATCTTGCAATTACCCATGCAAACCTACTCACCTGGGTCGCTGTTAAGGAGCTTAAACTGAGATACCCTAGTCTGGATATGTAGTCGAGGCTTTCGTTTTCTCAAAGCCAATCTTTTTGGCGCTCCTTCACGGCCACCCCATAATTCGGTATCTTTTTCTTCAATGGTCCTCACACGCAGCAATGGTCCTTCTCAGCTGGCTGCCCCGCAGCTGATAATTTCAGCTCCCGGCCCCTGTGAGAGGCCTCAACGGTTTATCCCATTTTTGGACTGCTATGTACAAGTGCCCAAAAGCTTGCAGGAATGACTGCAAGCTACAGCTTTCGGGCCATTCAGCCATAAGCAAGTAATATAGAAGCCTGAATCATCAGCTACTAATTTGAAATCTCAAATGTAACCTATGTTGCCATCATACACTGTATCTAAGACCATAAGCTTCTACATTATACTGTATACTACGGTATACTGGACCACAGGTCACCGAAGTAGCTCCTGACGAAAACTTCTTGGCCTGTCTGGGCGTTCTATTCACCCAGCCTCAGGAAGGGCGGGGGATTTTCACAAGTTCCCGGTTCCTTGAACTTCCTGGTACTTAGTTGCTGTAAGGGAATATAATCCCTATACAATCCCTAAACAACATATTCTTATATTCCGTACTAAGCGTCAGCGAATAAAACATGACATTGCATATCCCCGCCAAAGGAAATGCTGCGCAAAGCGCAGGAAAAGAAGCACAGCACACGCAGAAAGAGTAGGCTGAGTAGGGCCTCTGAACCCTAAACCCTAAACACCTAAACTCAAACTCGAAACGTACTAAACCCTTAACCCTGGCAGCCTTATCGGCGCAGCCAGGGCCTGCCTACTTGCAGCTGCCAGCCTTTGTGCAGCTGCCATGAAGCACCCTTGCCCAGGAGGCTGTTCGAAGCCTCAGCTGCTTCCCTGACTCTAAATTCGGAGCATACCTTCTTCAGTCACTGTTGCACGCTCCCGCACGAAAGCAAAGGAATCGAAAAATTTGTTGCGCAGTTCGAATCGCCACCCCGGCAGCTGGGACTCGTAGAATAGCATTGCGGGAATCCAAGCTTTTCAATGAGCCACCTGCTGTCAGGGAACAGCATGTGGACTCACAAGCTGGGACTCTAACTTGACCAGTCATAGCATGATCCGTAACACATGAGCCGGGCTGACTCAGGAAAACTGAATCAGATGCGCCGCCCTGCCTATCTGGCTTGGGTTGTGAAGCCGGGAAGTGCCTTAGCTTCCAATGCCATAAGGGGTTTAGGGTTTAGGGTTTAGTCCAACTGCATTGTCACCTCTAACCTAGCCGCGCCCTGAGCTGGTGTGGCTGGGCTTGCTTTTGTGCTAATCACTATTGCTATAGTGAGCCCATTGCGCATGGAGCAAATCCGTTATGGTGTAGGGATTAAGGTTTTTTGTAAGCCCGTCGGACTTTTGAGATGTGCAGACATCAAAAGTCTGAGGAGTTTAACAAATGGGATTAAGGTTTAGGGATTATAGTGCCCCTTAAGTAGATAGAATATGGCTTTGGGCATATTATAATTCATAAGCTTAAGGGAGACTATAGGGTTTAAGATCCAAGATGCAAAGCACAGCGGGGGCCAAGGCAGCAAAGGCTCGGCCCGGGGCGCCTCTTCGCCCGCCTGCGGCAACAGTGCGGTAGTTGAGTTGAAGACTAGGTCAAACCCCGCTGTAGTAATAGCCCCAACCCTCCCCAAACCCTAAACCCTAAACCTGTATACCAACAATAGCCCTCTGTGGTACCCATTGCTGGGTGGGGGTTTGACCCAAGTTGACGATTAAAACGGACACGTGAAAGGGCCCCCAAGCCATCTGAAGGCCCTAAAGAATGTGGGAAGTTCCCAAAAAAAGGATCCCATTTTGGTACCCCGACATGTTAGGTCCCGTAATATAACTCATAACCAAACGGGGCCGACAATTTTTAGAATAACCCATGTAAAAAATGATGACCATGCCTGAATGCCGCCTGCCTAGTGCTTAAAGGGGCTTAGTTGATCTATTGGTTGGCTATGTGAGCTACAGTCTAAACTCCTAGTATCCCCCTTCATAACCCCTATGATTCTCCCTCTTATATCCTCCCTTCAAGGAGTTAAGACTACAGCTTATGTGGCATGGCCGCCTCGAGGTTTTCAGCCACCTGCCACAGTGTCACCCACGGCTGCAGCCTTACCTGATTGCACAGAAGTGCTGAGGCTTTTCACCGCAGCCCCTCCTGCACTAGGGTAGGTTTGGGAGCCCTATAAACACATGTAGCTTTATAAGGATTACATTGGGATTAAGGTAAGGAAATAAAAATTAAGAATTATTGTCAAACCTACCCCAGCGCAGGTTAATTATGAAACATACGTTGAGGCTTCGTCTTGAGCAAGGGTGTGTTAGGGAAGTCTTGCTGCGTGTCGAAGACATAATGCGGACACAGGCACCCCACCGCCGGACCTTTCTATCTGGAGCTTCTGCCCTTGGCTGTGCAGGGTCCCCCCATGTCCGGCTCGTTTGCTATCAGCAAGACAAGAATAACAAGGATAATGATAATGATACTGGTAACAGTAGAAATAATATTAATGGTAAGAAAAATGATGAGAATAAGAATGGTAGCACACCTAGAAGTTGCTTCTTTGCATGTCCTTCCTGATCAAAGGGGCCAAAGCCAAGTCTCTCCGTCGCTTCAGCTCGTTTGCCACCCTTGCGGCCAGCACCCTTGCCAGAGCTGTATGAGGAGCGCATGGGCCCTGGATCGCCTTGGACCATTGAACCCAGACTATGTCGCAGGACTGCTGGGTTGGCCCCTAAACCCCTTTGAAAAATATTAGTCTTTTGGGTCCCTTATTAAAGCCATTAGGGAAAACATTAAATATCCCAGGGGCCTACCCAGACTGCTACGAAACCAGTCTAAGAAAGCACAGGGGTGTTCAATTGAGCCCGAGCCCAAGTCGCCCTTGGCACTGCCAAACTTTGCGGGGAGCTCGCCGCCCTTTGAGTCGAGGGCTGCTTTGAACTTCGCGAGGTTCTCCTGGCGACGAGGGTCTTGGGAGCCATGGTCCTGAAACTTGGTTCATGTAGCAGCTTCCTCTCGTGCGCGTTGGTGATCGACAATGGGCTGCGGGTAGTCCTGGCAGCGTTTGATTTCATGGATCTGTCGTGTGCCACAGAATCGCTTGCCAGGCCAAATCTTGCCTGCCCAATGATGCAGCCAGCTTTCTTTTGCTCTGCCAGTGGTGCCGTCCATGGCTTGTCTTAGTCTGGCTGGACAACCGTTACACGTCCACTGCATGCAGCGACCAGCTCGCACGATTCTGATACGCCCAGTCAGCGCAAGTGACTGCGAAAGATGCTTGCTGTCCATGCTGGCAGAGGAAGATCTAAGTGCATGCACAGCCACACAAGTACTTCGCAGGCATGTTCTTCAGCTCAGGCACCTCGAAAATCTTTGCAAGAATTCAACGAACTTTCAACCGCCCGAAGTCCATGCCAGACAAACTCAGCTGCCAACATAATGCTTCACAAACTCACCCGTCTGCTCTGCATTCAGGCTGGACTTCGGCCCCGGACAAGGATCCTGAAAGCTCTCTGAATTTACGGGTGCTCAAGGGAGGAGTGAATAGAGGGACAGTTATATGGGCCATAGTCTAAATATTCTAGACTCCTTAAAGGGGGTTCTACAAGGGATTATACATGGGGGAGTATTATGGGGCTTGTTGAAGGGGATACTAGGAGTTTAGATTCTAGCTCATATGGGTTTAGGGTTTAGGAGTTATGAGGACCCACTTCCCCACTCTCTTCAAAGCACCAGTAAGTCTACAGGGCAGATAGTAAGCTCACCTTTCCAGACCCACCATGACTCTTTGGAGCCCAGCCCCCGCCATTTACCCAGACCTTGAATGCCAAGAAACTCACTTGGGTCCTGCCCCCACCCATTAAGATGTCTTTTGTAGGGGTCATATTAAGGGCTCCATATAAGTGGAATAAAAATTGTTCTCCAACTGTTAATGAGTGGGGGCAGTACCCAAATCATCACTATTCTCACTATAAATAAAGTTATTGCGATTATTGCTCGTATTTCATATTGTTGCTCAGGCAAGTCCTCGACTCTTCAAATTTAGAGCCTCAAAAGTGCAGCTAGGAATCGTAGATCCGGAAGTATGGTGCTGAGAACGGCGCAACACCTGGTGCAAACCCTCTGTGTGTTTGCGTCACGAAGCCTATATCCATTCCATGTGGGTCTCTAGTAGCAGGACCGGAAGTTTCAAGATTCCCAAAGTTTCGGGCCCAAGTCATGGAAGAGAGAAAGCGGAACCAACAACACATGTTGCCATAGGAGCCCATCACAAGACCCAGGTCCTAGGCTAGGAAAGAATACGAGAGGAGATTGCGAGGGAAAACGAGAGCCCGGGGCTGCTTCACGCTCTCCGGTGATGTCCAGGGGAGGTTGCAAAAAGGACACGACCTCAATCGTTCACAAGAGCGGCATGCCAGTCGTTTTCTGGCTCAAGAATAAAGACAGGAGTTTGGGCAGAACAGGCACGGGCGTCACATTTCTTTCGGGTTCGGCGTTCTTCATCTCAATTGTGGCCGCATGTACTGGGAAGCTCAGCACAATGAGCGCAAGAGAGGTCTGAATGGGTGAGTGCAAGTTCTTTTGAAAAACGTCCCGCTTTCTTGACATGAATAGCTGCTTTCTGGCTTCGGTGTTCATGGTTGTCAAATTGTGGAGTTAACTTTTGCAATCCCGCGGAAGTGTGTCATCAGAGAGGCTTTGGCCGGTCCACTCGGTCCTTGCTTCCAATGAAAGCTGCACGCAACTCAGCTGCAAGCCCTTGCATGATTTCATCTCTCGAGGCTAAGGGGGAAGGCGGGGTTGTCCCATACCAACTTGTGATACAAGTTGCTCCAACCCCCACTTTCACCGAACTGATCCTTCTGTGCATAAGATAGTCTGGGAGGTGATGCCTTCTGCTTTCCGTTAGCCCCGGCCTGCCAACCACAGCCAGTTGCCTCAGGTTGTATCGTTTTCCTACACTCCCGGCAATGCAAGGGTCAAGAGACATGCGTTCTACGTGGTGAACATGTTGAACAACAACACAACTCCGCTTGCATCACCTCGTCACCTTGCGTACTGTTGTCCTGAAACGTTGTAGAATAGCTAAAACGCGATTTGAGGGCATTAAGCAACACAGCCTCATCCCTGCCGGTGACGAACGTGCCAAAAGCATGAGCAAGTGGCCGTTGTTGATGGCCCAGTCTGCATCCAGGAGGAGTCTGTCGAACACGTCGCGCCCAGCTGTCCAATTTTGCCAAAGATCTCCTGCTACTTTAATCACGGGTGGGGGCTGAAAGGAAAAGGCCATGTCTGACCGTGGGTCTCTTTAGGGGTGAAGGTCTTTCCTCAAACTCATGCTAGGTGTACCGTTTAAGCCCCCTTTTTCAAATTTCAGGAAATGCAAGACTTGGTAGTCTTCCAAAATAAGGGTACCTCAATATAGACCCCAAAATACTATAATCCTTATTATAAGGACCCCAAGACAGGTACCCCTAATTTCGGGAAACTCCTACTTGTGGCAAACCCACAAATCCTCGCGTTAAGAAGCAAGCCACAGCATGTCGCCCCAGATGGTGCATGAAACCTGAGTGCAAGAGTCGGAGACGCACGTCTTTCTGGGTTAACGGTTTAGGGCTTAGGGTACAGCTGTGGTACTCACACAGGAGCCTAATGGCGGGTTCTGATTATACAATTATACCTCCCTCCCAAGCAACTAGACGATTGTAAATGATGAGTGAGGAGTCCCCCAATCGCCATTCAGTTTGAGAAAAGTTGTTTGGGGGATCCTGGAGGAATTCTACAGGCAGCAGGACTCTAATTCCATTTCTGCCGTGATATTTTTCTGTACGGGACAAACGCTCTCTCTCTTCCGTACGCTTTTTCGTACCCCGTCTAGCTGACAGTTCGCTATCTTCCAAACCACTCCTATATGCTTTAAAAATCGCCACCCAACATGAGCTGTGAAAGGGATCATACAATTCCTCCCAGCGGCCTGTCTGCTTCAACTGCCGCATCAAAGCATCGATGAACGGGTATCCCGTCTTGCCAGCCTTCAAACAACAGCCATCCCAGCAGCACTGCTTGGCACACATGGGGTCTCATAGTTGGGGGCCCACAACAGTGGATAAGCACGTGGAAAATTGGAAAATCAAATGGAAACCGGGGTTACATGAGCGCTCGCACAAACGCCTACAATTCGTTCCCATGGATAACTCGGGAGCTTCCTTTTGAAGAGCAGGTATTGCTTTTGGGGGAGTTCAGCCAAAACACAGTCATTGTTTCGATCAAGGAGCATCGCTTTGGGGGGTCCTGTCGCCTCTGGGGCTTTTTGCGCGATTACTACATCTCACGGCATTCCACCTAGGACGCGAGTATTCATGGTTGCTCGTATAGAGGTTATATGGTAGCAGCCGCAAATAGGGGAGCCCCAACACAACCCCAACAGACTATCTTAAACCCTAAAACCTCAACCCGAAACTGCTTGGGGTAGACAGCCTGAGGGATCCATTTTTCCTGGAAGCCCGCAGAAGTATTTCCCCTCAACGAAAGCGACCCCGCCTCCCATGCGGCCAGAAGATTCTCATCATGCCCCCAGGGGATCTGCTTGCACATTGTGTTCCTGAGCAAGCAGACTTCAAGCAGTCCCCTCTGCTAATACCAAACCTGCAAGCCCCTAAATGCTGATTTTCTAGGACAGGGCCAAATTGTCTATAGGGGTGGATATTGTTGTTATGGGCTGGGGATGATGCCACATCTCTCCTCGTTTGCACCGATCAGTTTTCCCAGTCGCTTCAGGATGCACCCACTGCCACAAAGTCTTTGTAGACCAGCCAACAACTAAGGGTCCATTTCTGGCGGCACTTAAAAGAAGAACTATGATATATTGGGGTCTACATTGGGGTCCCTATTTTGGGAACCTCCCTTCTTGCCCAGCTAGCTGCGGAGAACAAAGCAACAAGCTGGACGAGGAGCCCCTCATTTCGATCAAAATGAGGAACGGCTGCGCCAAGCAGGTAGAACATTTCGCGGAACAGCAACCTAAGCCATGATACCATCTAGGTTTAGGGTTTAGGGTTTAACTAGTGCTATGTCATGGGCTCACACTGGGTGATTGAGAATATCCGTTCTAAGACCTCCACCCTAAGGTAGTTTCCATAAACATCGGGACACCAATACAGACCTTCTTTTTATTCTTGAGTATACTCTTCTCATTATGAGGGACCCCGAATTTTGAGCTATAGTCTAGACTTCTAGTATCGCCCTTAATAACCCCTATAGTTATCTCCTATATATAACCCCATTGAGGAGCTTAGACTATAGCTCTTTGAAGAACTCCCATACTAACACCGACAGGCAGCTGGCCGTGCAAGGACTGCGGCGGATGCGAATGACTTTTGCCGCGGATGCAGCGGTCAATGGCATACCAAGCAGTTCGCACTGACAGACACCCGAACTTCAGGTACGGGGAGAGACCTGGTGCGTTGGAAGCCCAGTTTGGGCTGAAGATGAGATTTTCTCAGCTCAGCCCACTGACGTGTCGCTACGAAATCGCTTTCAGCATTCCTGCAAGAGTCCTCTTTGCTCACAAGTTCTTCGCAGCCAAAAATTGATTTTTCTGCGCAGAAATCCCCATGCAATCCATGTACAACAATATGTAACCCCCTTTATGTCCCTATAATCCTATATCATATGAGCTATAATCTAAACTCCGAGTATCCCTCTTAATATCCCCCATAGTCCATTTCATAATCCCCTATATAACCCCCTTCAAGGAGTTTGGACCCTAAACCCTAAACCCTATAGAATCCCACTAAACCCTAAACCCTAAACCCAAACCCCTAAACCCTATTGAATCACCCTAAACCCTAAATCCAAACCCCTAAACCCTATTGAATCCCTCCTAAACCCTAAACCCTAAACCCCCGACTATAGGTCATATAATCTCTGCCTAAACTCCTAGTATCCCCCTTAATAAGCCCTATAATAGTCCCCTATATAACCCCCTCTAAGGAGTTTTGACTATAGCTTATATAACCTTTGCCTGTGGTGGAGGGCTCCCAGGGAGAGCCAGGACGACCCGTGGACGCTGTCTTTGGCTTCTCAAAGCGGCAGACCTCAAAGAATCCAGGTAGGAAATGCTTTTGAACCCTTTTGCTTACTGGGGTTTAGTAGGGAGTAAGGGAATATGTTATAGGATTAGGGTTTGGGGTTTAAGCTTTGGGGTTAGTAGGGAATATAAATGGGATTCTATTCCCGTATTCGCTGCCAAGCCCCACTAAGTTTGTGGGGGTGCCCCAAGATGAAGGCCACGTGCACATTACCGAAGCCATGCTCCTTGGGATGCTCTGTACTCTACATTGTAAGCACTCTATCCCTAAGGGTCCAAGGACCCAAATAATGGGGTTTTAGGGCCCAAATCCTACAATATAAATGGTATTTGGGCCCTAAAACCCTATGATTTGGGTCATTGGACCCTTAGGGTATGCTCCCTTCTCTAGCATCGTGAAAAGAGGACCCTAATCGCCCCAGTCTTAACGGCCGCGTCGGGCGGCATACTCCACGTCCGAGCAGGTTCGCTGAAGTCTAGCCAGGGCCTCCGACTCCCCACCTGCGCAAAGCCGACTTGCTATATAGGACTTATATAGGGGATATGGGAATATATTGGGGTTATATTGGGATAATGGAAAAGAAAATGGAAACTACTATAATATGTAGGGGGATAAGGGAATACATTGGGGTTACACGCATGTGTATATAGGAGATACGTAGGGGCTATACAGGGAGATGTAACGGTTATATGGGGACGGCATAGGGATTATCATCCCAAGAATGGAGAATCAAAGGTAAAACGCGCTCCACTCTCCGTTAAGCACCAGCATGCAACATTTTTGGCATCCAGCAGCCGTTGAGGATTATGCACGGGCAGCGCAATGGGCGCGTGAAACATGGTAGCTTCCTTGGGCCTTAGGTACTATAGTTCTTTTCAAGAGTTCCCCAAAAAGAGTCGCCTAATTTGGGGAACCCACAAACCCCTGTTGTAAACCTCTCTCGTAATCCAGTTTCCGTTTAGTTTCCATTGTCTTTTCCATTTCGTTCTCCACTGTTGGGCGAATATCTCCCGACATGGCTCCAACATAGCTCTCTACAACCCCTATTATAGCTGTATAACCCCCATTGTCCCTCTATATAAGCCATAATCTAAACTCCTAGTATCCCCCTTAATAACCCCTATAGTAGTCCTCTCTACAATGCCCTGTATAACCCCTTGAAGGAGTTTAGACTATGGTCCATATAAAACACCGATGGCCTACGCGCCGCGCCTGGAAAGCCCTGGCTTGTTGGCTCCTCATCGTACAGATCCGAGATCTTGGGCACCTCGTGTCCTGATTGATGGCAATGTCAATCCTATAGGTATAGGGTTTAGGGGCAATGTCAACCCTCCTAAACCTGGATATCGCCCCAGGGTGCAGGCGAGACATAACAAGTGAATTTTAGTTCACCCAACCGATAGACCCTATAAATAAGGCATGAGTATATCGGGGTCCTGATTATAGGTGTTTGGGCAATTAGAAAAACCCCTTATCGAGTTTACAAAGAAATCCTAGCTTCAAATCTAGGTAATATTAAGTAATACTTACGCTTAAGCTCCTATGATGATCTTAACTTGCAGCTCCGGACATGTTGCAGCCGCCAAAGGTCATAGGTAGGCATAAGTTAAGGACTTGGAGGGATTAGCGGATCATCTCACTTCCTGGAAAGCGATTGGAAATTTGCAGAACGTAGGCATATCAGGACGGAAACGTGTGGCCCAATGTTCTTGCTTCATCTTCCATCTTATGCCCAAACATTCGCGAGTCACCGGTAAGACGGCCATGCCGACGAGCGGACAGCGCTAGTGATAATTCAAACAGCGATTGCAGCCACAATTAATACAACAACAATCGTAATAGTAAGCGTAAAACATGAACCGATAACAGTAATAACAATACGATTCAATAGTAAGACTTGCTTGAAGACTGCTGCTATCTGCCTCATGAGGGGAAGTTACCAGGGTTCCTATAGGCTGCCTATAGGGGATTGGTAGGGTATATAGGATTTCATGATTAAACTCAATAATGGAGAAGCACATGCAACATAGAAAGCCAAGTGGAAACTACAAGTTAGGATTTGAAAGGTTAGGGATATGACTCGCACCATGGAGAATCGAATTCAAAAGAATATAGCAAACGTGGACACTAGCTCGGTACGGGGATAAAAAAGGGATATATAGGGTTTAGGGATGTCCGAACACTGGAGAATCAAATGGAAAGACAATGGTCAATGAAACAGACAAAGTAGGTTATATCGGAGTTCGTATGTCCCATGACGCAAGATTGCGTGTGATAAGCTTGCATGCCAGGGCGTCCTTGCATCTTCAGAGGTGGAATCTTGGGAATGTCCAGCGGTGCGCGGAAGGCTCCGGCAGCATTCACAATCTTAGGTAACGCTTGATGGTGATGCCAAACCCAGGTTTCCATGCTGTGTTCTATTTGATTCTTGCGATGCTATACCCTAAATAATCACCACAAAGCCCCATATGGTGTTCACCAATCTCACTATCTCCACAAAGCCTTGCGGCAGGAGTCGCATCGCATAGGAGTGGGTCATTCCTACTGGCCTAGCAGAAGTGGCAGTTTTAGGTTTAGGGTTCCAGGAAAGGGCACCAACGCTGTCGAGACACATTCTGAATACTTTTCATGGAGATTGGAGGCTTAAAGCCGGGCTTTGCTACTGTCGCATCGATGTCCAGCAGCGTGTGGCCGGAAAACCTTTCCTTGGCATTGTCATCTCTGTTGATGGCAAGACTCCCCAGGCTGGCTATACTGAAGTGATGAAATTTTGGTCATTGGTTCTTGCTGCTTTTTACCAGCATACATAACATCGGGATCTGCAATTCGCACGTGCACGAGATGCACTGACTGGCGACTGAAGACTGACCTGCAGCCGAGTGACGGCCTGCACCCCGCTATCCTGCGCAGTGTGGACCCTTTTTTCGATCTGGTCTTCGTGTTCAACCAGACTAGCTCGCACCGCAATATGTGGACCCTAAACCCCAAACTTCCTAAACCCTATACCCCAAGCTCTAAACCCTAAGCCACAGGTAGGTCCCAGCCCTGCTCAACAACAGCATTCTCTGACATGAGGGCCCCAAGGAGAGACCATAGGGTTTCTCAAAAGTCGGGGTGCCATTTTTGGGGTCCCCAAAATGTGGATTACTGCATTAGGGGGTATACGTTGGGGTCCCCCCATTTTGGGAAACTACCACCATAGTGCTGGCATGTGAAACAGAACAGGCTGAGACAGGTTCCGCTGCTTTGCATGTGGCTCTAGCGAGGTTTAGCGTTGGGGTTGTGGAAATACGATCACAACCAGCATGACAGACAGACGTACAAGTTCAATCACCCTGGGTCTAAGGCGCAGTGTAGTGTGCTAACACCCTAAACCCTTAACAGATGTGCCAAGCTTTGAAGGGATGCCGTATGCGAGCCTTGGCCATAGACAGCACACGCTCATCGCGAGCGCGTGCGTAAGGCTCTGTGTCTGCCTCGCTGCTTCTATTTGCTATTTCATGGAAGAGATGGACGGACAGCAACATGTAAATGCAATGGCCTCCGTTCTGGCTTCCATTCATGTGAGCTATGGCCTAGACCCCTACTTAGTATCCCCCTGAGTAACCCTATGATACTCCCTTTATGACTTCAGATTAGCCTGCGGAAGAGCCTTCGCTATGGTACCCTCTCTCATGCCATGGCAAAGCTTCAGGCTGCATCTCAAATGCTGGAAGGGGTTCGGAAATGAAGCGGTCTTTTTGGGGGCCTTTATCACAAGGAATATTGTATGTTCGAGATAAAACCGGGACACACTTTTTCAAACTATCAAACTTGATTGAAGGGAAGCTTACCGGGATTGCAGAGCAAGTTCGTCAGTCTAAACCCTAAACCTTAAACCCCAACCCTATAAACCATAAACCCTAAAGCTTTAACCCTAAACCCTCTACCCTAAACCCTACCCTAAACCCTCAACCTTAAACCCTAATCCCTAAACCGCGGATTGGGCTCCGGGGATGCCAAGGTTGGCAAGTTTTGGGAGTTTCTCAAAAAGGGGGTACCCTAGGGACCCCAGGGGATATATAGGGATGATATGGGGATTCTGGGGGTCCTTAAATGGTATATATGGGGATCTTATTGCAATATACCCAAAGCCATATTCTATCTACTTAAGGGGGGACTATAATGCCCATTCAGTAGCCGCCTGTAATAGGGGTAACACTAGGGGCGTTTTCTCATCCAATCATTGTCCAACTGTTCCTGACTGGGGGCAGTATCCCTATGAAATCTCTATAATACTTTCCCTTGGTACTACTTACTAAACCCTTGCTAAGTTAAGCAGCATGCTGCACCCAGCCTCCCAGAAGATCTTGGAGAGGCGAACAGGCGCCTGGGTGGCACAGCTAAGCAGACACTCCAGGAAGTTTTGCTCTGCCACCGCTCGTTTCAGGCTTTAACATGGTGGGTTTAGGGTTTAGGGTACTGTGTAGATGATAAAAATCCTGCATGACCCTAAGTACCTTGAGAATTACGGTGCAGGTCCTGCAGGTTTTCCCGTATCAACAGTAGTTTCCCAAATCACATTCACGCTTGGATTGGGGTGAGGATCGCATATGAGCATTAGTCTTAACTCCTAGTATGCCCCTTAATAACGCCTATAGTAGTCCCCTATGTAATCCCCTACATATACCCCTTTAAGGAGTTTAGACTATAGCTCATATGAGCCTGCCGCTGCCCGTAATCAGAATAACAGTCCTAAATCATGTCCCCCTCTTCAATTGCTATATGGATTGTTTTCAAAATTCTGGCCCATGTTGTGGTCATGCATTAAAACATTACGGCAGCTAAAATTTAGGGGTACCAAAGTGGGACTCGAATTTTGGGAACTACCCTATATATCCCAATATAGACCCTACATATCCCCATAATATACAACCCTATATAACCCCTGTGAAGCCCGAATTTTGGGAACTAAACCCTAAACCCTAAGTAGTAGCTTCCATTTTCTTTTTCCATTCTCCCTATATAACCCCTGTAGACCCCTATATAACCCCTATAAAGCTCTCTCTACTTTTGGGAGCTCCCCACACAAAGCTTGCAGGCCTTCCCACTGAAGAGATCAGCAAGCACCTGCTCAGGTTGGCCTGCAACACGTTTTGGCAGAGGAAGGGTTTAGGTTTTTTTTTTGTTTAGGATTTAGGGTTTAGGGCAGAGGAAGGGTTTAGGGTTGATAACCTCCTCCCCCTTGGGAAGACACCCCCCAGCCCTAATGATGAACTTTACCCAGATAATGCCATCATGCAAACCGGGTGGTAGTTTTATGAAGGGGGTTGAGGGGTTGAATAGGGGCGTAACGCTTACGAAGCTGCTGTCCTAACTTCGCACACTGCAAACAGTCGAGGGCAAAGGGTTTTTACCTCTCTGAGGGAGTCGTTATTATACCCGGGTGGGAGACAAACGTTACAAAGAGACAGCCGGCAAGCATGTTGATCACGCAAACGCTGAGTGGCAAGTATGCAGACAACCGGAACAGCGTAAGGCCCAAGAGTCATGGGTTCCCCTAGTACCTGTTCTATACTACCCCTCCTAGGTTCCCCACTTAGTTGAGGTTATTTAGGGATCGTTAGGCCTATTTGAGGTCAATAAGGGGTAACCTAGGGGGAGGGTAGTACAGAGGGGGGGAGTAAGGAAACCCATGAAAGAGAGTATGATACTGATGCGGTTTCATCCCAGGGCCAGCCACATCGGCGGCACGCAATGAAGGAATGGATCCTTCTCAGTAATGGAGTAGTTTAGATGTTTTTTTCCATGCCTTGGCTCGCTTCTAACCATCCTAAACCCTATAATTATACCCCTCTAGACCCCCAGTTTCCATTTCCTTTTCCGTTTTCTTTTCCATTTTAGTTTCCACTATTGGCTGCTAGCCAGAGGGAAGACAAAGGCCTTGGAACCCTGAACCCTAATCCCCAAAATCCCAAACCCTAAAGGCCTTGGAAAACTAGTAGCCGGCTCTTCCTGCTGCGGAGTTGCTGGTCTAGGTCCTTGCTGGCGGCTTGTCATGAACTCAATGGGGTGGGGGGGTTCCGTTTAGGGTTTTGCCGCTTGCATGGCCATACAGCATCGCAAGGTTAGAATCCGGGTCAAATCACAAAACTAGTGGACTCCATCAAACATCTGCACCGACGCTGACTAGAATCCGAATCCACATAAACCCCGAGTAACGAAACCCAACCAAATCAGTGTCGAAATGCACGCAGCTACCCTCCTAGCCAAACTTGCAACTACAATTCGCGGGTCTGCATGTCGGTTTAGGGTTTAGGGCTTAGGCTTTGGGGGAAGGCTCCTGTTTGTAGTAACGCCCCGTGGGCTTTCCAAAGCTTATCCTTAAAGGCATACAACCCTCACAAATTGATGGCACCACATCATCGTGGGTAGTCGACCCCGCTCCCCACACCGACCTTCAAGGACTCCACACAAAGAAAGGCTACGTGAACAAAGGATGAGGATGTTTTTCTGCAACGCCGCAGGGCTTTCTAAGAAGCAGTTGCGTCCTGCAAGCTCTGCAGCAGAAAGTTGTACCTGCAGCATAGCCATTGTTGTTCTTGCACGTCCGATGCCCAGCTCTATATCTAGGAGTCGTGTCATGCTTGCAAAGGGCCACCCAACCTCCATACATGCGGCTGAAAATGCTAGATTCTGGAGATGCAAACTTGAAGCAGTGAGCTATCTGAGTTTTGAGAAGCAGGTGCTGGTGAGCTGTTGCTCTGCAAAAGAGGCAAAGAGGCATACCTAACACTTTCAACATGATATCACTATAACACATGTTCGGCAACGCGTTATCACTTTAGTACATGTCCGGCAACGATTTCTTTCAAAGTCTACTAGCACGAGAGTGCAATTTGCGCAGGGAAGCTGGCTCGCGACCGCATGTTCCTTTAGAGCTCCTTGTTGTGGTCAGGAGCCCCCACTAAATGTCTTTGAAGTGGGCGAAATTGCCTTGTGAACATCTGAGGAAAAAGCCTGACATCACCACAGAATAAAGACCACTACTATTTCACTTAGACTTAGTTGCCCAGTATCTAGGGCTTCCCAAGGTTAAACTTTTTGTTTGTCGGCTTTATTTTGCCCAAAACATATAGTCTCCCTTTAGTAGATATAATATGGGGTATATGGGGATCTTACTACAATAAACCCAAAGCCATATTCTATTTCTTAAGGATGATTATAGGGGTCACCCACGGGACAGATAAGCCCATGACTTCAAATTCCGTCAACCCGCGGGTCGGGGGCAAACATGGAAGCCCAGCAATCCTTAGAACAACCCAATTTTGGGGTGCCATGTCTCTTGATGCAGAAAATGTCTGATACTTAAGTAAAATGGGGTTCCCTACAAGGATCCCTATATAATCCCCAATTTTTTTGTCCCAGTTCCCCCTCCCTAAACCCTAAACCCTAAACCCTAACCCTCAATCCTAAGTGGAACCCCAGGTCTGGCCTGTTCACTCCCACCCAGCTTCGGTCAAAGTGGGGATCCAGGATGAAGAAGGGGATTACCTGGGTTGCTGTTAAGGAACATAGGGTTTAGGGTTTAGGGTTTACGGTTTAGGAACATGGGCTTGTAGTATTATTTAGGGTTTAGGGATATTATCCCCCTATAATGGAAAATCAAATGGAAAAGAAAATGGAAAATGAAATGGGAACTGGGGGAATATAGGGATTTAAGGAACTTAAAGTAAGTTACTATATTGGGGAAACCCTATTATTTATTTTATATTCCCATTATCGTAACTTAAATTAGGTTCCTTAACAGCAACCCAGGAATGGGGGA